ATGTAAATAATATTATTATATTATATTAAATTATATTATTATTCCTTTTTCGAAGTCTTGGTTAAAAAAATGTTTTTATTGTGTTAGCGGGGAGCCCTGAATTAGTTTAGAAATTTTAGCATCTTTTTTGCGGCGAAAAAAAAAACAATGATTTGGAAATTCTTGCAAACATCACTTGATTGAATGAAATTTTCAGGAGTTATTCACAAAACAAAGAAAAATATTTTAGAAATGTTTGTTTTTTTAGAAAATCTTAGTGAAATATATTTTTTCCAAGCCAATATTATTTTCAAAATTACCTTATCGGAAATCCGAAGTCATATTGGCTTTGCGAAAAATGCCTTCCAAAAGGTAAACAGCATATGAAGAAAAAGGGAAATTTCATTAGAAACAAAGAAAAGAGTATTGAACTGCGATGTAATATCAATCTTTCTACATAGCAGTGAGTGCTGGATAATTTCGTTAGTTTTGTTACTTTAACGGCATATCGACTCTTTATGGGTCATTTAATGCCGAAATTTAATTTTATTGGAAGTATTAGTAATTTATTTTACAAAAGTGTATTGTGGGTATTTTTATAATTTTTACAAAAATGTATTTTCATATTGTTTTGGCCCCATTCGGTGAGTAAAGTATTTACCCATAGCTGGGTCCCTAACGGGTGCTACCACCCTGACATATCCAGGGCGGTGGACAATTACTTCACAGATAAAGAGGTGACTTGATATGACAAAAATGTGATTCTACAGAGGGATTCTGAGAATACCAAGGACCGAACATGTGTACAATGAGGAAAACAGAAGCAAAGAAATAGATGATATTTCTAAGACACACACTGAGGAAAGCGGACTTAGAGAATTTGATACGCAGAGGACATATTAAAATCAAGGAGCAGATAGACATATGGAGTAAACTACTCGACGAGCTTGTATAAATGGATGACAGAACAATGAGTAGAAGCGATGGTAAAATGACAACATTGCTAAGAGCTACAAAGGATAGGAAGTTGTGGAGAGCCATGATCACACGCGTCATGAGGCAATACTTTACATAAAAGAAAACTCTGTATAGTGAATGAACAAAAAATAATTTCAATTCAAAGAAAAACTGTAAACACGGTTGTTAGCAATTAGAGATGACCCAAATTGCGAATGACATATCGGGGTTGTCAATATCAAGCAAGTGCGGATATTGAATTATCTGCCTAGAGTGGTAGTAGCAGACGACAGAAAGTGTGACATAGAATGTATTCTTTCGATTTAGTACAGTATATATATTGTTGCATACTCCCCTGTTCTGGGTGTTCTCATCTCGTCTTCTCCCAGCTGGCGATCGCTAATTGTTTTGATTAAGCAATGAAAGACTTCAAACACAAAGAACTTTATCTTAACTATTTTATGACTCTTGTCGACATGTACATTATCTAACTATCCAGTGGGCGTATCGCCACCTGATCAGTGGGGAGCCGTTTCGAACATGAAAGAGAAGACGTCTACATCATATGATGGGCAAGAAGCAACTCCCTGAGGAAAGCGAACTTAGAAAATTTTAAACATCTGTTAACCCCAACACACACTTATTAAATGCTCTGAGAATTTCGAGCATGAAGAATTGATAAAGGTGAAATATGTTAAATTCATAAACGTTTCCTATTTTCTATTTGAGAATGGAGAGAATTGAGGAATTAACAAAAAAAGAACATTTTGTTCTGTTCAAATGAATCAAGATAGAAATCTATGGGGATGTGTGTCATTAAGTATCTCAGACTCCGTCTGTCTGTTCTAACTTTAAAATTCTATGCTTTTTTTTTTATTTTATTTTACAGTCTCTTTCCCGTTTTCTCCGAATCTATCTATCTATCTATCTATCTATCTATCTATCTATCTATCTATTTATTCTTTTCTATCTATCTATCTATCTATTCTTTTCTGTTTATCTAGCTAGCTAGCCTTTCTGTCTGTTTGTCTGTCTCTCTTTCTCTTTCTCTTAATCTCTCTTTCTCTCTCTCTCTCTCTCTCTCTCTATATATATATTTATATATATATATATATATATTCCTTTCTGTTTATCTATCTATATTACTTTTGCTTTTCTATCTGTTACAGTTGTTTTTTCTATCTATTCCATTCTGTCTGTCTATCTATCTATTCCAGTTTGTTTATATGTATGTATGTATCTTTATCTATCTATCTATCTATCTATCTCAGTCCGTTTATGATCTATCTATCTATCTATCTATCTATCTATCTATCTATCTATCTATCTATCTTTATTATGGGCGCGTGACCTAGTGGGTTGAACTTTAGCTTTCTGACCATGAGACCCGGGTTCGAATCTCACCATTGTCTATCTGTCAAGAAAGAGATTTCATGATGTTATCAGAATGGATCGAGGTCGACCCAGCGTTCGGCCTCTTAGGAATGTGCCTGAAAACCATTCCACGTGTTGACCCAAGTCTTGTGAGTGAAATTTAGTAGACAGAAGTTTTGAGAGCCGTCGA